TTTTCCGCCAAACGAACAGAGCCTAATACGTATGTGATTTTTCATGAATTGAATAACACGCTTGTTGTCCTAGATCCCTACATCCTTTAATTAGTGACTAATACGTATCCACGTCACTCGATAAAGAATGTTCATAAAATTTAGGGGACAATTAAATCAAAATTCCTTCACGAAGGAACTATGTCCACGAATGGAGAGTGATCGTCATAGTTTAACCAAATCAATGTCCTAGTTGCGCCTGTGTAATAACGATAGCTATAGAACTCCAAAAGAGCCTCTCAACCTCACACACACAGTTTTTTGGATCAGTGTCCAGCCCCAGTTGCGCGATTCAATGAAACATCCATTACAAAAATGAATATGAAGTCTAACAACCCAGTCCGACGAGGGTCGATAGTAGTCGACGAGGCCAGAGGGCCTGGGCAAGGAGCGGCTCCTGACAGGCATGGCGAAGAGGGCAAGAATGAACCGAACTATGTACCGAATAGGAGGAAAACAATTTTGAGCTATATATGTAAAAACTGAAATTAACTCACGGAGGCGCCATTTAACGTAACGACAAACTTTGCTTTGGAATTTCAAAGTTAAGCATGCTCAGGTGAAAGCAGTCCCATGATGGATGAACTCCAGGGAAGGTGCCCACCTGTATGCCAAAAAACAAAACCGTGAGGCTTAGTATGGGATGGGCCAAAGTAAACAATATCTCAGTGAGTTAATCCAAGACGTCACATGAAGTTTCCTGAATCAAGGCATCTGCCAACAATTTGAAAATAGTATCATAACGAGCGCGATCTCACTTCACCAAGCACACAAAATGGTGTCCGACCATGCCAGACGGTGGCCATACAAAGAGAAAAGAAAATGCAGGCCGGACATTAACGTACTTGCCCGAGCACTGGCGGGCTTCAGGTCATTTTATGTTCAAGCTGACTTACTTTCATGACTTTTGAACTTGATTTTAAGTACAACTTGTAATGCGAGTTGCTCGCGGCAATTCATTAGGCATCTTACTAGTTAAATATGAGATAAATAGCACACACTAACTTTTTTTTGTGATTTGTGCTATTACTTCATGCCTTCACCTGGAATAAATGTGTCTCTAGTCGGTTCCGATGTAGAACACGAAATCAATAGCACATGCTAGCTTTTCGGAATATGGAGAGCCGATTTTTTATGGTTTGTGCAATTGCTAGCGCACGCTAACTTTTTGGAATATGGAGAGCTCGGTTTTTTATGATTTGTGCAATTACTTCATGCCTCGACCTAAACTAGAGTAAACGAGCCGCGACAAACAACAGTTAGTTGCCATGTTAAAGTATGAGATAAATAGCGCACGCTAGCTGCTTAGTGTACTCTTGAAGATACCATAGGACAGATTGTTTTTGAGCAACATATGGCTATTCAAACGAGATCTACATGTGAGTCACGTTGATACGAAATCTCGAGGACTTCATTTTGAAAGTTTTGTACCTAACCTCACTTCTTCATTCAACAATTAGACCAAGAAAGCTTTGCAGGTTATTTAATGCAGCGACTTTTACGCTTTCTATATAATGAATAGAACATAGAGTCTGATCCAGGTAGAGTTACAATGCAAGTAAGTACAACCGGAAAAGTAGACTTATTAAACGGATAGGTCGGGTCATAAATGGTCCGACCCAACTTCACCCATTTAACTCGTTTATGACACATTTATCGCAAGGCAAAAATCTTGACCCATACCCGACCCGACCCATTTAACGGAATCTAGGAAAACTTATTTCTAATAATTATTTAAAAAAATTGTATTGCTGAAACATCTTCATGCAATACAAATCTTTTAAAAAAACTTGATGCTCCGTTTGTTTCGCGGAAAATATAACATTTCTAATAAATGTTTTCAGGAAAATGACAATATTTTCCAATATTTGGTTGAAACCTGGAATGAACTAGAAAATATTTTCCGCCGTTTAGTATGAAAAATCATATTTTCCTCTATGCATTCATTGTAATATTTTTATTTTTTTTAAAAATCACATTTTAATTATTTTTCTTTTTCTTTTCCTTATTTTCTTATTTTCTTTTCGTTTTTCCCTTCTTTCTTTCTTTTTTCTTCTTCCCCCACCGATGGCAGCTGGCCATAGGCGAGGGATGAGCTCGCCTGGTGAGACTCGAGCTCGTCGGCCTCTAGCGAGCTCACCCCGTGCCTGTGGTCGGCCACCGGCAGGGGAAGAAGAAAAAAGAAAAAGAAAAAGAATAAAAAGAGTATAAAAATTACAAAAATCAGAAAATTAAAAAAACATTGAAAATTTCACTTAAGCTTATTGGGTAATCCATTTATGACCCATTTAATACACATTTAAGACCCATTAAGTTAATAAACAACCCATTAATGACCAATTTAATTCTATTTTTAAAACTAAACCCAACCCACTCATAACCAACAATCATTACATATGGGTTAATATATGGGTTCTTGACCCATTTACCACTTCTACGAAAAAGCTCATTTAGAGCAAGATGTCACTAGGCCAATTGCCAAAGTTGCCAATAAAGGGATTGGGGGTTGGACCGGAAAATACCAAGTCCAGGATATGAGCCCTTGAGCATCCCACACTTATGTACATAATAGAGAGGAGTGAGACAAAAAAATTGCCAAAAGTTCAATTCAAGATTTTCGGCCTCAAAAATCATTTTTTTGGACACGTTTCTAACCACTTCTCCATATTAAAAACCCTACCACCACATTGTCTCTCACTCATTTTATGACTCCAAGAGAAATCTTCTCAAAGAGTGAGCATCAAAGGAGGCAGGAGTTTCAGAACCGGCGTTAGGTAGCTACTAAATTCCTTGTTTACTGAAAAGCTTTCCTTACAACTGAATTAATAAATGTTGACATATTTACCCCAAATTAATTTCCATTTCACAAAAAATCTCAAATCGGTACCCCTAAAACATATTTACCTCGAACTAATTTTCGTCTCATAAAAATCTCAAACTTGTATTGATGGTCCAAATCTACCCTTCTTTAAATTGCATAGTGTCAATACTTGGATTTTCCTCGTCACAAATCCACCTTGCATTCGTTTGTTACGTGTATTGACAAGTATGTATTTTAACAGGATATTAGATGAACTATTAACGGATGGTAGATTTGGATCGGGGATAACAATTTGGGTTCTGTTGCGAAACTAAAATTAGTCTGCAGTAAATGTATCACAGGGTATTAGTTTGAGATTTTTTGTAAGATGAAAATTAGTTTTTAATAAATGTGTCACGAGGTACCAGTTTTTGCAGAACGAAAATTAGTTTGGGGTATGTGTGTCATGAATGTACGAGTTTAGAATTTATAATGGTATGTTATTTTTGCTTAAAGCACGGGCAATTTTTGTGGTTCATGACACAAGAACTGGAAATGAAAGCATGTCCTATTGAAGACGAATAAACCCTAAAAAAACGGCAAATAATCTTCAAATGCAAATCCAGAACATATGAAACCGACTAGACAAAAAACTTGCTTGCATAATCCTAACATGAACAGGTGTGGAATGGCCAAAATGTCGATATCTTTTGCTAAGATGTATTATAATACTGTAGATTAAAGAATAACCAATCGGTCTTGTTTGACGGATGCATCTTGGCCAAAGAGTTGGAAAAGCGAGAGCCAGAAAAGTGGAAGATCATGTGTAGAGTGTGGGTGGAGTTGTTGTCCTACGCTGCAAGTCATTGCAGAGCAGAGACACATGCCCAAGTACATAGTCAAGGCGGGGAGCTCGTGACTTTCGTTCGGCTCTTGATGGCTCAATTAGGCATTGGAGAGCAGTATCAAATCAATGAAGGCCATGCTAGAGCAAAGCTTAGCGTCAATGGTTAGATTGTACCAGTTTGTGATTTTCATCTGTATCCTTGTTTCATTCTATATCATTTGGATCCTTTTTCTTTTCATTTTGTTGGATTGTATTGTTATTGTGATGTGTCTAATAATTCTGTTTCACAGATTGTATTATGCTGATTCACAGTGGAGTTGGATCCAGAAATACTTTGGTTTCAATGAGAAATGTTGCTCCTTTCTTCTGAAGTGCCCTGCCTTATCTGAGCTTTACCAGGCTACTTATTTCCTACATATAAACTTCAACAGAAATAATATGTTCAGTAAAAACTACCAGTCTTCTATCGATGTTGGGCACACGCACACGCCTTACTTAAACACCTAATCTGTCCTTGCTACAAACACTTTGTACGCAGAATTTGGTGAAACGTTTCGACCTCTAGTGTTATTGCACACATCACTGACTGGTGTTAAATAATGAAGCACAAGGGGGCCTTGGCCTCTATGTTTCAAGCGAGATCGTCGCAAATGGTATCAGAACATGAATCCTCATGATGTGAAGAATGAGCGGCATATGCAGTGAGTTGGTCTTTGATAGAGCGGCAGATTGACTTAAGTGAAATTCTCTGTTTTTCTTCCTTTGTGATGGGTACATTTTCTGATGCATCGCTCCAAACCCAAAAAATGTGGAAGACTACTTCCGCTACAGGTTTAATCTCAGCTATAACTGTACGATGTCACATCTATGACTGGACGCCCACTGACCTATATCACTCACACCAAATACCAAGCGAAAAATTACCTATGCCTTTGATTCTTTGTAGGCTTTATCTTCGATTTTAGCTCACGATCTCAACTGGCAAAAACAAACCACGACTAGCTGTGGTTTGAGCTTTCAAATTTGATTTGGATTTTTTTTTTTAGAGAAAAGTGAGATGGCGAGGCGTCGGATTCAAAAATTTCCACATTCGACCCGACATAAATTTTCCGACGTCTAAAATCTACGAAGGGCAAGATCAATACTTGATCAACGCTTTTCAAAGATGCAAGGTACTAGATAGCCAAAATGTTCACTTAAATCCTCAATTGACTAAGGCTTACAATGTCAATTCTTGAGTCGGCACTTACCCAACACAGAAGTATTAGGACTAAATTGAGAATTGATAACACAGTTCAAGACAATCTGGTGCACTTAGGATAAAACAATTCATTTGATGGGTACATTTACAACACCATCTTCAACAAAAAGGATGCAGAGCACAACTGGATATCTTAATTAAGAGAAATTCGAAATTAGCCAGCCCCATTTTCCTCTAAGAAAATAAACATGTTGGCTGAGACAAAACTTAAAATATCAAGATTCAGGTCTTCATTGCAGGTCTCACCAGCCCTAATCCTGAACCACTCCCCAAATGTTTGAAGTCAGTCGCTTCAAGATGATCCCCATGAGCAGAGAAACCCGTCCCGCCCTTTTCCAACTTCACCAAATTCCTCTCTTTACACGGCTTATCGCAAACAAGACAAACCTTATCGACAACAATAAACTTCTCTGCACATTTCTTGCAGTAGACATGCCCACAGGAGCTAAGCACAGATAGTGACACCGTGTTGGTCAATGTGACCTTGCAGCTAGGGCATATATATGTCTTGTCCAGGGAGTTGGCTTTCTTCTTCTCACTGGTGTCTTCTATGAAGCAAATAGGAAAAAGGGTCTTCAGCTTTAGTTTCTCATTGCCTTCTGGGCAGACTGTGCTGGTGGATGGTGCGTCTACCTTAAGAGGAGCTTCTGGAGTAGCTGAGGGCAGCCAAAATGCCTTCATGGTTCGAAGTGCTTCCTCCTCATAAGAAGTAACCTTGACACTGTTTGCACCATGGAAGCCATTCTTGTCTCGGCTGTGATTTTTATCAGTGTATTGAGGTACCGCACCATGATTTTGTTGATCGAATGCATCTAGTTCCCTAGCTTTCTGCAGCGTTAGCCTCTCTTCTTCCTCTTCTTTCTCATGCTTCTGCTGAGCTTCATGAGCAGCTAGTTTTCTGCCAGTTCAAGAAGACTTTTAGCACGGAACCAGTAATAGGGAGGAAAAGGTAACAATAAAATGTTGGATGTCAAATGATATCTACAGTCTTTTTTCCCACAGTTAAAAAGATCAAATCACTCAGATAGTTGTAAATCCAGATAGTATGGTTGGCTATAGAAAACTCCCACTTTCTTTTTTTAAGTCTCGATCGAGCATCTCTTGTTGTACATAATTCTTTTCCCAGAGGCACCAGCACTTAATGCTCCTATCTCATCAAGGCAATGATCGGGAGACTTCTAGTGATTCAGACAGGAATTAAATACCACAGAAAGCATGTTACTGAATTATCTTTTGACGAGGGGACAGCTCAGATGTCAGCGAACATTAAAGTGTCAACCCCTACCATCAACCAAGTGGTTGGAAAATAATTCATCTTGCTCTCTGAACCAGCCATAAGAATTTTAAATTACTTCTGGGTCAATAGAAGAACCTATATATCCCAGCAAAAGCCACCACAATCCCTCTCCCTCCACACCACAGACTTCTTTCTCACATGAAAGCCCATGCACATACAGTGGCACAGATGCACAAAGATGGAAAAGGGATATGCTCTTACAAAATTATGACAATGCCCACTCAACAACCTTCCACAAGCCAAGTAATGCCCATGCCCAAAGGCTCAGATAACCAACAGTTCAGGACTCTGATTGCTATAAAAATTAAGCTCCTACCTGAGGAAGACCTATCATGGGGACCAATAACCTCTAGCTACGCCTTCGGCAATCCAATACTCTCGAACACAGTAGAAAGTGACATCTTTAAAGACTGAGCTGTTGATCCCAATTAGTATAGTTAAGTTGTCCAAGTAGTAGCGCCGACTCATTAGATCGAACAGGAAAAAAAAAAAAATTCCGCAAGCTCTCCGTGAACACTGACATAAGTATTTACGGACCAAGTTAAAGAGACACAAAACAGCCAACATTGCTAGAGGTCTCAACTGGACTGTGATATGGTTCAACATATCAATCGACTCTCTTGAACCGTCAACCAAGCTTCAAGTCTTATATGCCCAAACCGTTCAAAATACAATTTACGCAAAGAAAAGATTCCTACAGCACAAAAAGTACATATTCAAGAATCAAACTTTGACCCGTCAGAACGCCAAGCAGGGAACCCAACGAGCTGAATTCCATTTCCGGACATCGGACTACCCTTTAAGGACACTAATTGCCCAAAACCCAAATACCATTCCACTTTAAAACCCTAAATTTGACGAAAACCAAGCACACGCCCCGCACGATCTCGGACCCAAGCAGGAATCGAACGAGCTGAATTTCAAATTCGGACACCTGAATACCCTTTAAAGACACTAAAAGCCCAAAACCCCAAAAAATTCCATTCCCCTTCAAAACCCTAGATTCGACGGACGGAGAAAACCAAGCACACGCCGCCGACGGAACCCGGACGAATCCACACGCGGGGGGCGAACCCCCAGAGGGGGACCCTACCTCTGGATGTCCTTCTTCTGGGAGAGGAGGGAGCGGAGGATGCACTCCTTGCAGAAGACGTGGCCCTTGAGGCAGCAGAGGGGGTCGACGAAGGGCTTGAGGCAGAGGGAGCAGGCGTCGAAGGGCTTGATGGAGTCCCGCCCCAGGCGCTCCCGCTGGGTGCCGTACCCGAGCTTCCGCTTCTCGTCGTACGTGAAGAAGGCGAGGTCGTTGTTGTTCTTCGAGTGCCGCTGAGGCATCGCGCCCGCCTTCTCCGAAAGTGTTTAAGAGAGAAAGAGAGAGAGAGAGAGAGAGAGAGGGGGACGATGGATTGAGGAACAAGAAGGTGATGCAGAGAATGAAATTTGGGGATGAAATCGGTGCCCTACAGACATTGAATCGCGAACCGTCTTATAGAAGTCGCTTTTCCCTTTCTGTCCCCCCCGCTTTCGGGAAGATTTTCATTGATACCACGAAAAAACCCGGCGATATACCAAATTTATCTCAAATTAATTTTTGGGTCAAATTAATTTATCTCAGAGACGCTAATGATGACACCCATTCTGTTTCTTTGTTTTTTTTTTATTTTTCTATTTCCGACAACAGGTTTGAAATAGAAGTCCGTTTGGCAACGCAATTTCAACTTTTTTTTATTTATGAGATAAATTTTAAGCCCGGAAATAGATTTGGAACAGAAATGAGAAGTAGATTTTTTTTATTTTTCTATTTTTGGAATAGAAACAGAAATAATAGCTCTCTTTATTGCTTGCCCTCGCCGCCTCCCACCACGCCGGTCGTACGCTGCCCGCTGCCCGCCAACCGTCCGCCGCCCGCCGGCCATCCGAGGAACAAAAATTTAAGAATAACATACCAAACGAATTTCTATTCTAGGAACAAAAAATTTCTGTCGTTATTGAACGCTACTTTTTGCTCAGAAACTCATTAAGGAAATAGAAATAGATTTTTTTTTATTTCTAGCCAAAAATAGAACCGGAGAAGAGAATGGTTATCATTCGCGTTTTAAAAATTTCAAATTTGTACATTTATGCCAAATTTACCCCCAAACTGATATGGATTTTCATGTGTCATTCAACTTAATATTTTCAAGGTAAGATTTGATGGAAGCTAATGGAGGGTAAATATGAATTTTTGGTGACTCAAAAATTAGTTTAGGATATATTTATTACAACTGTACCAGTTTGATGTTTTTAATGATCCACAAATTAGTTTGGTGTAAATATATCGTACGTAAACCTGTTTAGATTTTTCGTGATATTGATCCTTTCATTTAAAGGCAATCTCAAGCATTGTTTTGTTGTAGCATTAACGTGTAAATAGCTCAGTTCAAGAAAGTGTTTTGAGTAAAAGTACATTGGGTGAAAGTAATTGAGATTAGTATGCTATAATTGAAAAAAGGGTTAATACCACGAAAAACCCTAAACTGGTATACTTGTGACACATTTACCCCAAACTATTTTTTTGACCATAAAAAACCCCAAACTTGTACATATGTGACAATTTTACCATGAACTATTTTTTTGACCACCAAAAACCCCAAACTGGTACACCTGTGACAATTTTACCCTGAACTTAGCACAAAAAATCCCAAACTGGTATATATGTGACAATTTTACCCTGAATTAAAATTTTAATATTATTTTTTATTTTTTTCGAATTTTTATTTATTTTTTATTCTTTTCTTTTCTTTTTTTTTTTCATCTTCAACCTCTGGCCGGTCGCCGGTCCGGCGACCGGCCAGAGGCGTAAGCCGGCGAGGGCGACCCTCGCCTACGTCGGGCGAGGGCCGCCCTCGCCGCGCGTCGGGCGAGGACCATCCTCGCCAGCCCAGGGCAAGGGCGACCCTCACCCGACTCAGGCGAGGGCGGCCCTTGCCGGCTTCCGCCTCTGGCCGGTCACCGGACCGGCGACCGGCCAGAGGTTGAAGGTGAAGGAAAAAAAAAAAAAGAAAAGAAAAGAAAAGAAAAAAGAAAAAATTCAAAAAAATTCAAAAAAATAATATTAAAAATTAGTTCGGGGTAAAATTGTCACATGTGTACCAGTTTGGGGTTTTTTGTGGTATGTTCGGGGTAAAATTGTCACAGGTGTACCAGTTTGGGATTTTTTATGGTCAAAAAAATAGTTTGGGGTAAATGTGTCACAAGTGTACCAGTTTAGAGTTTTTCGTGGTATTAACCCTTGAAAAAAATACATTAGAACGCAATTTTGGTATAATTGTCGTTTGGGAAAACAAAAATATCTCAAAAGCCTTTTGATATTCCAATGCAACAAATTTAAGCTTTTTACTTTTCAATTTGCTTAAAATTTGGAAAAAAAATAATGACTGCAATTTTGTTTTTCAATTTGAATGATGAAATGGAAATGTAAAAGAACCATATTAATAAAATTATAAATGTAGGAAAAAATCAAATTTCCTTGTGGCTAAAAAAAAACAAATTGGACAAATGTAACAATGTGTTCAAATGGATTTGAATTTTTGGATTGAGGTAAAACTTCACTTTGGATCTTTGCAGATTTTTATCAATCAACTATTTGAATTTTAAATTATTTGATAAGGTGCTCGAACTCTTAAAAGTGGGAGAAGAAAGGCATGGGCAAAAAGCCTGACTAAAAATAGAAAAGCAATTGCTCCAACCCCAAATTCGGACGACTAGAGCTGACGTTTCCATTGGAGCCGACAAGAGTTTCGACGTAAGAAGCTTCACTGTCGCATTGATAAATTTCATTGCTCAAATTCCAATTACGATCTTCATCATTTAAGATTTTCAGTCTCGCAATTTATCTGATGGTTTACTTTGGCCAAAGATTTTCAACGTCAAACTCTTGCCAATACCGACAGGTATACCTACAGTTATTAACTCGATTCGATTGGAGAGATTAGGTAAGTCCCACAAATCTAGATTAGACAATTTTATTTGGTCAAATTAGATTAGACAATTCAAAAGTTCAAGAATTTACTTGGAATAAAAGTATTCATATTCAAGGATGGAAGGTGGAATTTTACCTTGGATCAATTTACCAATGGGTAATATTAGTCTACAAGAATTGATTTGCTAAAGTATTCTTCTGCACGTGGAGTTCAGTTTACATAGCCTCATCCTAAGTCCCATATGACGTGTATCCACGCCTTTTAAAATTTCTATTATCTTATAAAAATTGGAATAAAAAATAATTAGAATGTGTTTCTACTTGGATAAATCCCTAGCAGAAAGCTCATTAAATGAGTCACTTCCCTTAGCTTGCTCGAAGGAAAACAAATCGAAATATCTCGCGCGAATTAAGATAGGCTCAACCGATACAGATCTCAAAATGCCGAATTTGAATGTCTAGATGGTCTCGCCTTTCGTGAGAATGGTTCTATGCAAAATTCCGTATGTGCCGGACCAATATTCTTATCAACCCAAAATTTCATTTAGCATAAATGTATAGATTCTACGTCGCATCGTCTTGAAAATTAGACGGATGGTTCGTAATTGGAATAATTCGAGATAAACGAGTTGTGTAGGAAAGGAGAAAAAAGCAGTATCGGGACATACCGTCCCTAAATTATATCCAAAGTATGAAATGGTAGATCGATAGTAACAAGGCAATCGAAAAAGTCAAGAAGAATCAATGGCTTCCTCCAACATCTCCTTGGAACCCTTCATCAAGCCGGGGCTCAATCTGAACATGAGCACGCAGAACTCCTTCTCGTCCAAGGTCCCGTCCCCGTCGAGATCGCCTTCCCGCACCATCGACCTCGCGTCCTCGTCGGTCATGGCCTGCAACCCAAGCAGGGACGCCTTCCTCTTCAAGCTCTTCAGTGTGATCACCCGCTTCTCCTCGTCCATCAGTAGGCGGAACCCTTTGCTCAGCTCCTCCATGAACCCCCGCGCGCCCAGCCTCTCGACCATCACCGGGAAGAAGTCCTCGAACGCCACCGCCCCGTCTCGCGCCGCCATCTCTCTGTCGTTAGTTACGTTCGGAAAAAAAGCCGATGCGTGTGTGTGCACTCGGGTGTGATTTGGTTTGAGATGGGAAGATGGTTATTATAGAGGAACCTCACCTGAATTGCGCGTGTGCCGTGGAAAAGGTCTTGGAGGCCAAGGAAACTGGGGCATCAGTTGACAACCAAGGTACAGATCAGAGACACAGATGTCATGTGAAGATGGCTGCCGTCATTGGATGCTCATAAAGAGTTTCATGGGTTGTTTCTTTCTCTCTTGATGAACGAGAGAGAGAGCCCCAAGTTTCGTCGAAGTTGCGAGGGAAGGTGCGTTTTCACAGGTATCCATGGCAGAAGCAGAAGTTTCTGTCTTTACTTTTCCTTTTATTGCAGTTTGGGTTGGACGGCAATGCACGATAACGCCATTTCAAGCAATAACTTACACAGAGAGAGAGAGGGAGAGATTTGGTCAATATCTTAACAATGCAACTTTGCTTACGCCGTAACTTGTCTGTATTTGCCCAAACGTGTTGGTGGGAATACCAGACGCTTCTGGTAACTTTGCCAGAAATGTACAGATATATTTCCAGATGTACCGTACACTCAACGGGGGTTTGAACACGGCCCTATCTCTCTTGTTATTACGTGTGATATTTTCGCAAATACAAAATAAGAATACAAGCAATCCGAAAGGATTTCGTACCCCGGCTTTCCCGACCCATATGGCGTTCGGGGAAATTACCGAAAAAATCTTAAACATATCGTGTGGTGTCCAATTTAGTACTAAACTTTTTGATTGTGTTAATTTAGTTCCGACCTTTTGACAATTTGCTAATCTAATTCTTTCGGTCGATTTTGGCCAGAATTCTTTGACGTGAATGCCGATCATTCTACGTGACATGGCCGGCAGACGGTCAACATTGACATAAACAATTTTTTTAAAATTTTTTATGAATTTTTGTTATTCTATTAATTTTTTTCCTTTTATTTTCCTTTTTACTTTTGGCTAGCAAGGGCTACGAGCTCCTCGCTTGTAGCTGGCGAGGGCTGCAACGCGCATGCCTAGACCAGCCGAGGGTCGCTAGCCTTCGCCTATGGCCGAGAAGGAATTGCCTACCCAAAGTAAAAACCAAAAGAAAAGAAAAAGAAATAAAAGTACAGAAAAATTTAAAGAAATTGCAAAAATTGTCCAAATTAACGCTAGATGTGCATAGAATGTCCGGCATCTACATTAGCAATTTCTGGCTAAAATTGGGCCGGAAGGACTAGATTGACAAATTGCTGAAAGGTTTACGATCGAATTTGGCTGTCGTACAATAAATATATGATTTTTTCCATAATTTTCCCCAAGACCTTTTATCCTGACGATCAATTGCGGTCTTTCTATTTTTCTAAACCGTGTCACAGACGTCGAATACCAAACTTTTCATATACAAACTAGTAATATATAGGGGTCCCGCTAGCCTTATGGACTTGGGAAATGACCATGTAATCAACGGTTGTCTAAAATAATGGGAATATTTTTATCACAAGGTCTACTCTATCTTTCTCCTTAACTTACTTTTGGCGCACCATCTTGACCAGTTCCAAATTCCGATCGGTTGGTTCCCCGACCGTACTTGCCCCCGTGTGAATTTGCCGCTACGGAACGCCAACAAAATAAATATTGACATAAAAGTCCACAAGACAACTTCTGTTTCTTTTCGACAATCGGAAGTACTCACGGATTTTGTATGATTTTGTTATGTTTGCGTTCGGTTTCATCCGTCGAGGGACAATTATACAATCAGCCCTACGCCTACTGTGCGAAAATCCCTGACGTGGCATTCCGTTCTTCGCCAACCGTCCTGCATGGCATAGAGCAGCGTCGGCAATTTCCGGCGAAAATTGACAGGGAGGACTACTGAATTTGGATCCGTACTATAGGTTTAGGACTGCTTGGACAATTTCCCTCGTCCGTCAAGTAATTGGAGCACGCTAATACCATGAATGTGCTAATCTTCATGGAGGGTGATCTGTAGAGACTAATGAATGTGGTTTGTGCAGAACTACTTCCAATTTCCCTTCTTAATTGCATTTTGTGGCACACTAATTCACATTTTCCATCTCCATTGTTGTGAACTGGTTCTGATATATAACAGTCATTAAGAATCAAGTGAAGTTTAGTTTCCCAAATAATGAGTCATGAACCCTCCCCCTTCTATACAGTAATCGCATACTTTTACCGAGCTTCAACAATTGTATCGGTTAAATTGTTTACAGAACAGGGCTTCTGGTCCTGTTGAGTACTTGTGAATGCCGGTGGCTTCAGACTAGGAAGGTCGAGGATTTCGCCATTGAGCATCGATACAATGGTCGACATGGATGGCCTATCTTTCATATGTTCTTGCACGCACAGCAATCCCACATGAATGCACCTTAAAATAGCAATTTCATCACTCGGGGCATATATCACCGTGTCGACGAAAGCTGCCATGTTCTCCTCAGTCCACGATTTCCAAGCCTATAGACATTAGCAAAAGTCATAATGGAGCACGGAACAACTCAGAACTTTGAGTCACAATGCAAGTAGCAAGATAAGACTCACGAATCCTAGAAGACTCAAGGTCTGATCATCAGGATGGAAACTGGTGCAGCATCTTCCGCTTAAAATCTCTAATAACAGGACTCCGAAGCTATAGACATCGGATTTCTCTGAGAATCTACCGTGGATGACATATTCAGGTGACATATACCCACTGCATAATATTGCGATAAAATCGAACTTAAGTTTGTCGTAGAGCAATTTGAATAAGTAGGGGAAAGATGAGGGAATACTTACTATGTTCCAACTACTATTCTTGTTTTTGGTTGGTCTTGATTTCCTCCAAATATTCTTGCCAATCCAAAGTCCGACATCTTCGGATGAAGCCCTTCATCCAATAAGATGTTGCTGGCCTTCAAATCCCTATGTATGATTCTCAATCTGGAGTCTCTGTGAAGGTAAAGTATGCCCTGAGCGATTTCGGTGATTATACTCTGTTGCTTCCTCCAGTCGAGCTTATGACACGTGAGGGGATCTACATGAACGGTATCCAAAAGCAAAGGAAGAAGCATCGTGAATGAATAGTAAATCAGTGCATGAACTCTATCACTTTGGTTTTATTTTGTTTGATGCACATGCTACAGAAATGGAGCGAGCATGCTCATACCAAACAGAATCGCATCCAAACTTTTGTTCGGCAGATACTTGTATATCAATATCCTCTCATCTCCTTCGACACAGCATCCGTGTAGCCTGACAAGATTTCGGTGTTGGAGTTTCGAGATCACCATCACTTCGCTCATGAATTCTTGCAGGCCTTGTCTGGAGGCTCTCGATAATCTCTTGACAGCAATCTCCTGTCCATTTGGCATTTTCCCCTGAAAACAACCATACATATAAGCTTCAGAAGCATTTAGCAACCCCTAGTCAACCTCTTGAGAAGCTGAACCCTTACCTTATACACTGGACCAAAACCCCCCTGCCCAAGCAGATTGGACAAGTCGAAATTGTTTGTAGCAGTTACCAGCATACCGAAAGTGTAGAGCGGTAGGTCATGAAGTTTCATTTTCTCTGTCTCATCGAACGGCATATTAACACCAGAATACACCCGATATGCCTTCTCTCCTGTGGAGAGTAATAGCTCCATGCTTGCTGCTAGATACATAAGTTATAGTAAGTAACAAATACACTTCACCAGATTTTGGTGCATTCCAACACAACTGAGCAAAGATTGATCAACATGTGATTACCTTTCCTCTTGGCCATCCATCTGTGTAGGAAGAAAGAGAAGACAGAAGCAGCAACCGCTCCTGGGATCACCGTTGCAAGTATTATTACTTCCACTTTCCTGTTCTTATCTGCAATTTAAGAAGGCAAAAGTATACAAGACTGGAACAATTGAAACTCGACTCTAGAAGAACAATGAAAAACTGAATGAATGAACAAAGTGCAGCATACTCAGTTCTGAATCTGGCACACGAATGTAAAGATCGATTCCCCCTTCAGAGAACTTCTACATGTCAATCAAGTTTCTGGTCCATATCACGCAGCCGATCCCATTATTGTATGCATAAGCTATACAGGAACAATTAGCCAAGCAGCGATCTCCACATTCATCATCAAATGTAGATGACCACTCCGCAAAGTCCGGCACTTTCATGTTCTCCAACCTGAAAAACGCATCTGCTTTGCCAATTTCAAGACTATTGTTTGTCCTCTCACATTGCAGTGGTGTTCTCCTAACACATCCATTTGTCCAATTCCCAGCATTCCATTCCTCCTTGTTCTTCGGCTCAAAGCCTCTCACACAGCTGCAAATTGGTGAACTCTTCGGATTGCAAGACCCAAAGGAACCACAAGTTCCATAAACATCACATTCACTGTTTAAGGCTGACCATGAAATTTCCCAATCTTGCTTCCCATCATCCCAATATATCTGTACCAGGTTTCCTTCAGAATTCAATGCGAAGTTGGACAAGAGCGACTGGTTCACAAAATTATAAGTTAGATAAATAGTTCCTTCCTTTTCATCCACAAGATCGAAACCATAAAGATACACCAAACTCATGTCAGGGACTCCGATAAAAACTAGACCGTTCCAAGGCCCACTTCTCCAATATGGACTACCCATTTTCCAGATGAAAATTTCAGGGTTACTCTTGAGGGTTTAAACCTGCAGAGAAATTTCCAGCAGATGGATTGGAAGAGCTTTTCCAAGATCTAAGCACTTCCTTTCCTTCGCCATTGGTGATTTTCATGCTTGTCAAGAACGAGTCCGTGAGATGCCCAAAGCTCTCCCAAACAGTCACCGGACTGTTATTTCTCGAATCTATTTCTTGCAACACAAGGTTCCCAGAATCAAAGAGCTGCGCGCGAGTAGTGCTTTTGGCTGTTGTGATGCCTGACACGTTCGATGACCAGAGAACCTCATTCTGTCCGTTGGAGACCATGATGTTGCCGTCCTCAGATATCCTCACAGTCCCTGAGGAATCCTTGAGAGGCCTGTCTCGGTTGGCCACCCATATTACCGAAACAACAGAGACTTGGTTGTACCATATGGCCACATATCGATTGGCAGAATCCGGAGGGCTGAAGAATCCCAGCTTAAAGACGCTGCCTTCTGAAGTTACAGCATCCGGGTCTCTGATGAACTATGCCGGGGTGATGGAGTATGCGCAAGTGAGAAACTTCAGATGACACGAGACGAGGAAGAGAACAAGAACCAAGAAGCTTGTAATGCCAAGCAAAACCATTGATGTATCAGTTCCAGGTCTCTTCTTGCTTGTGATGAGCAAGAAGATGATTTTGGGAAGTCAAAGATTTGAGCTCACTTCAATTTATTGTCGAAACACATTTTGCACGAGGTCTGTTGCTTCTTTTCGGGAGGATTCGGAGCTGAGAACCGCACATTTTGATGACCTTCTTATATAGGCCAAGAATAGAGATGCTTTTTTCATGCCCATTTCTGCTGTTATTCAGCTTCAAGGACACAGACAAGAGGGTGCCGGTGGTTTAAACGTACCAAATCCGTAAGAAAGTTCGTAAGACCACAACTTCTAAAATCCGTAAGAAAGTTCTTGAGACCACAACTTCTAAATTGCGTAGATTTTTTTTACCAAAAAAAAAAATTACATAAATTCTCTTTTGCTATTTGGCATTGGGTAAATGACACAAATAATCCCTCAACTTTGGCTCAATGTGCAATGCAATGTGGTCCCCGAACTTTAAATTTATTCAATGTGGTCCCAGAAATTTAGCTTAATGTGCAATGTCGTCCATGAACTTTTAATTTGTTCAATGTAGTCCCTGGACCTTTGGTTCATGTTCAATTTAGTCCCTAAACTGTATGAAAATGTTAAGTGTTGTCCTCGAGCTTGAATTAATGGAAGGACAACAATGAACATTTTCACACAGTCTAAGGACTAAATTGAACATATATCAAAGATTCATGGACCACATTGAACAAATTAAAAGTTCGGGGACCACATTGCACATTGGGCTAAAGTTTAGGAACCGTATTGAACAAATTTAAAGTTCGGGGACCACATTGCACATTGTGTCAAAGTTTAGGAACCATTTGTGTTATTATCCCTTTGGCATTTGCATATTTTACTTTAAAAGATTAACGTTTTCTGGCAATAGAAAAGTTTTCTGATAGGTGTATATAAACTATAAGTGTATGTTTATTTCACTAAAAATTTTATGATAAAATTTTTTTTCTATGAAAGTCATTTTCAAGGAAATTGGTTAGTTTTTATTTGTTTGATGGTTTAGGGAAAGTGATTTCCTTATTGCTAAAGGAGCAGTAGTTTCCCTCCGATCTAAGCTTGTTGTTTGGTATTTAGTCTATGGAAAAATTTTCCGTTGATTGATTAGTTTTCCATCATCCAAACACTAGAAAGGTGGAAAACAATATCTTATAAATAGTTTTCCTTTAGACAAATGGACCCTAAACGTTGATATCATCCGTATATAGTTTATCGCAGAAAATGAATGATTTGAAAAATATTTTCCTTAAAATGATCATTTGAAATTATTAGGTAATGAGAAATATTTTCATTATCAACAACAATTTATGTTTAAACATTCTTATGGACGATGAAAATTTTCTTTGTTCAGTGTAAATATGTCACATAGATACAAGTTTGAGATTTTTAATATCGCAAGAAAAAGTTTAGGGTAACTATATGATAGTGGGCATAGTTCGGAGTTTTTGATGTCACAAAAAATGATAAGTATAAATGTGTCACAGTTGACATAGTTTTGGGGTTTTTTGTGGCTTTTTCCTTATTTTTAGTTTTGCCTTTAACCCATTTGCAGAAGGGAAAAAGCCACAAAAAACTCCAAAGTATGCCCATCGTGATACATTTACCATGAACTCTATTTTGTGACATTAAAAACTCCAAACTATGCCCACTAAAACACATCCATCCTAAACTTTTTTTGTGATATAAAAAATCCTAAATTTGTACCTATGTGACGAATTACTCTCCGTCAAGTTTCCTTTTCGCCCAAAACAACTTCGTTTTTATTTCACTTAAGTCTTGTGGCTACCATGTAAACACCGTTTGCTTTCTGACGTCTATGTAGGCAAATTTTTAACACTTTTCATTGACAAAACTTTGATGGAGGGTTAATGTGTCATATAGATATAAGTTTAGGATTTTTTGTATCACAAAAGAAATTAAAGTTTAAGGCAATTGTGTCACAGTAGGCATAATTTAAGGTTTTTGGTGATTTTTGCCTTTTTAAGTAATGATGGATATCAGATAAAGTAAAGATTCAATTGATGCACTCAATCCGTCAAATGAATGAGACAATCCTTACGAAGGGTATGGTGTAATCAGACTAATTTCTCATTCGGTAACACTGGAGGGAAGTACGTCACACTGATTTGCCTTTTTCTTTCTACATTTTGTGAACGATTCTCATAACAGTCATAGGAAACGTGAAGATTAGTTTCTCCTTCTATGCTGCAGCTGGAGAGCTTCAGGAGCCTTGTTATCTTGAATATCTATCCGCATTATGATGGGAATATCTTCTAACTCAACTTCGTCGAATGTCTAGCGAATACTTCTGGAATGGCCCTCTTAGGAATCACTCAGTAGATTACTACTTTGCAATAATTGCTATTCTGCGTGAATTACTTACAGATGTGTCTGTTTGACGGATAAGTTTTTAAAGAAAGCACTCGTACATAAATTTGAAGAACAATGATTCATGCCGAATTACATGTACAATTCCCAGTAATTTCCTGCTTTTATCGAGGTTCGACAATTGTAACAGTTAGATTGTTAACAGAACACGGCTTCTGATCCTGTTGAGTATAAACATCAGCCTGAGTGCTTGTGAATGCCGGTTGCTTCGGGCTAGGAAGGTCGAGAATTTCACTATTAAGCATCGATATGACAGTTGACATGGATGGCCTATCTCGCATATGTTCTTGCACGCACAACAATCCCACATGAATACACCTTAAAATGGCAATTTCATCACTTGGGGCATATATCACCGGGTCGACGAAAGCTGCCATGTTCTCCTCAGTCCACGATTTCCAAGCCTATAGACATTAGCAAAGTCATAATGGAGCCCGGAACAACCCAGAACTTTGAGTCACAATGCAAGTAACAAGATAAGACTCACGAATCCTAGAAGACTCAAGGTCTGATCGTCGGGATGGAAACTGGTGCAGTGTCTTCCGCTTAAAATCTCTTATAACAGGACTCTGAAGCTATATACATCGGATTTCTCTGAGAATCTACCATGAATGGCATATACAGGTGACATATATCCGCTGCATATTTTGCAATAGAATTAGATTTAAGTTCTTCAAAGAGCAATGTGAATTAGTTGGGAATAAAGGAGGGAATACGTACAATGTTTCAACTACTATTCTTGTTTTGGCTTGGTCTTGATTTCCTCCAAATATCCTCGCCAATCCAAAGTCTGATATCTTTGGATTAAGCTCTTCATCCAATAAGAAGTTGCCGGCCTTCAAATCCCTACGTATGATTCTCGGTCTGGAGTCTCTGTGAAGGTAAAGTATGCCTCGAGTGATTTCGGTGATTATACTCTGTCGCTTCCTTCAATCGACCTCATGACACACGAGGGGATCTACAGGAACAGTATCAAAAGCAAAGCAAGAAACACGGTGAATGATTAGCTAATCAATGGCATGAACTCTAGCATTTTGGTTTTATTTTGTTCAATGCTCATGCTACAGTAAAACAATATGGCACGAGTATGTTCTTACCGAACAGAATCGCATCCAAACTTTTGTCTGGCGGATACTCGTATATCAGTATCATCTCGTCTCCTTCGATACAGCATCCAAGTAGCCTGACGAGATTTCAGTGTTGGAGTTTCGAGATCGCCACCACTTCGTTCATGAATTCTTCCAGGCCTTGTCCGGAGGCTTGCAATAATCTCTTGACAGCAATCTCCTGTCCATTTGGCATTTTCCCCTGAAAGCAACCATACATATAAGCTTCAAGAGCATTTAGACAGCACTAGTCAATCACTTCAGAAGCTGAACCAGTACCTTATACACTGGACCAAAACCCCCTTGCCCGAGCAGATTGGATGAGTCGAAATTGTCTGTAGCAATTACCAGCATACCGTAAGTGTAGAGCGGTAGGTTCTGAAGTTTCATCTTCTTTATCTCATCGACCGGCATATTTCCACCAGAATACACTCGATATGCCTTCTCTCTTCTGGAGAGTAATAATTCCTTGCTTGCAGCTAGATACAAAAGTTATAGTAAGTAACAACCTCTTGACCGGGTTTCGGTGCATTCCAACACAACTGAGCAGACTGTTCATCATGCGTTTACCTTTACTCTTAGCCATGCATCTGCATAGGAAGAAAGTGAAGACAACCGCTCCTGTCATCACCATTGCAAATATAATTACTTTCACGTTCCTGTTCTTATCTGCAAATTAAGAATGGAAATGTTTACAAACCGGAACTATTGAAACTCGACTCTTGAAGGACAATGAATAATTGAATGAATGAGCAAAGTGCAGCATACTCAGTTCTGAATCTGCCGCACGAATGTAAAGATCGATGCCACCTTCGGAGAACTTCTGTATATCAATCAAATTTCCTGTCCATATCATGCAGCCGAGCCCATAAAAGTATGCAAAAGCTATGCAGGAACAATTAGCAAAGCAGCGATCTCCGCAATTATCCCCACTTGACCACTCTGCAAAGTGGGGGACTTTTATGTTCTCCAACCTGAAAAACCCATCTGCTTTGCCAATTTCGGGACTACTGTTTGTCATCTCTCATTGTATTTGTGTTATCCCAACACATCCACTTGTCCAATTTCCGGCATTCTATTCCATTACGTTCTTCGGCTCGAAGCCTCTCAAACAGCTGCATATCGGTGAACTCTTCGGATTGCAAGACCCGAAGGAACCACAAGTTCCATAAACATCACATTCACAGTTTAAGGCTGACCATGAAATGTGACAATTTTGCTTCGCATCATCCCAGTATTTCTGTACCAGGTTTCCTTCAGGATTCAATGCAAAGTTGGACAAGAATGACTGGTTAACAACAGTGTAAGTAAGATAAATAGTTCCTTCCTTGTCATCCGCAAGAGTGAAGCCTTTAAGATACACCAAACTCATATCTGGGACTCCAATGAAAACTAGACCATTCCAAGGCCCGCTTCTCCAATACGGACTACCCATTTTCCAGATTAAAACTTCAGGAATATTCTGAGTGTCTAAACCTGCAGAAAAATTCCCAACAGATGGATCGGAAGAGCTTTTCCAAGATCTAAGCGCTTCCTTTCCTTCGCCATTGGTGATTTTCACGCTCGGCAAGAAGGAGTCCGTGGGATTCCCAAAACTCTCCCAAACAGTCACTGTACTGTTATTGCTTGAATGATCTATTGCAACAACAGGTTCCCCGTGTCAAAAAGCTGCGCGCGAGTAGTGCTATTTGCCATTGCGATGCCTGACAGGTTCGACGACCAGAGAACCTCATTCTGTCCATTGGAGACCACGTTGTTGCTGTCCTCACATATCTTCACAGTCCCTGAGGAATCCTTGAGAGGCTTGTCTCGGTTGGCCACCCAAATTACCGAGACAACAGAGACTTGGTTGTACCATATGGCCACATATCGATTGGCAGGACCCAGAGAGCTGAAGAATCCCAGCCTAAAGACGCTGCCTTCTGAAGTTACAGCATCCGGGTCTCTGATGAACTGTGTTGGGGTGATGTTGTCTGTGCTATATCCTGGAGCTAGTGCTATAATAAATTGGAAGAATTGGCCACAGCAACAAGTAACTTTACCGACACTAATAAGCTAGCGCAGGGTGGTTTTGGGCCAGTATACAAGGTAACAATTTATCGTGCAAAGGGTAGTAACATCTTTTCCCTTTTCTAATTTCCTCGACTCACGAGTCCTTGCATGCAGGGGAGACTGTCAAATGGCAAAGAAATAGCAGTCAAAAGACTATCGAAAGCTTCAGGACAAGGGTTCCAGGAATTCATGAATGAAACGGAGGTCATTTCTAAGGTCCAACATCGAAATCTTGTCAGAATCCTTGGCTGTTGTGTCGAAAGAGATATGAATATAATAATCTATGAGTTCATGCCAAAAAAAAAGTCTTGACGCTTTTCTTTTTGGTAAGATATCTCTTCTTTTAATGTTTGTCGACTAATCCCACTTGACATTCTTAATGTCAGCCATGCATTGGACTCTACCGTGCTGACAAATAATTGTTATTTTCAGCTTGCATTTAAACTTCTTTCTGTGCATTTCACTCTATCCCAGTCACAAAATGATACAAATTGTCTGCATTTTGCTTATGTGGTCTATTCAGATCCACTCCAGCGCGAACATCTTGATTGGAGAAGGTTCAACATCATTGATGGAATCTGTTGAGCCCTACTGTACCTTCACCAGGACTCTAGACTAACGAGAATTCATAGAGATCCAAAGGCAAGTAATATCCTATTGGATGAAGAGCTCAATCCAAAAATTTCAGAATTTGGGATGGCAAGGATCTTTGTAGGCAACAAGATCGAGCATATACACGAAGAGTTGTGGGGACCGAGTTAGTACCTCTCTGCATTTTGGATTTGTAAGCTGTTACTGATGGAGAACTTTGATTCGTTTCCATAAACTGACATCACAGTAGTAAACTGACTCCAGTTTTATGCAGGCATGGAAGTTGCGGAAAGAAGACAATGCTCTAGGACTAGCAGACCCAAAAATATCTGTTAGATGCTTTGAAACAGAGGCTTTAAGGTGCATAAATGTGGTTCTTCTTTGCACACAACTTGCAAAAGATAGGCCCACCATTTCGACTGTCATTTCAATGCTCCACAGCAAAATTGCGGATCTTCCTAGTCCGTTCCAGCCTGCATACACCGAGAGGCAAGTAATTTGAGACACAGATATCTCCGAACAAAGCCAGAGTAGAGGTTCTATCAACAATAGTGAAGGCTGATGATGATGTTCTTTTATTTTTTTTTTTGTCTATCTTATTCTATTTTTCAACTCACTTTCAGACTTTTGCCTTGCCTCCTTTCAGAGCGTGAGAGTCAAAACTCACATATGAAACTAAACGTTCCCACCCCTAGCCCCTCTGCGGAGGTGGGGAATCGAATTCTCCACCTCCCCTTTCCCAAGTAGAAAGGTGGCCCGCTGGGGTAAACCCCAGTAATTAATGACAATGTTCTTGAAATGTACATTTTTCAGGGTTTTATTGTCCTCTCCATAACGAACGTGCGTGAGATGAGGATGCTCCACCGCCGGCAAGGGCATACAAGGTTCTCAAGCAGGTATTGCCTTGGAAGCCTTCCCACCACATTCCCTTCTCTGTCAAGGAATGCAAAGTGCAGGATGACCTCATTACGTACATACATGGAACCTTGGTTATAATTAGAAAATGAAAAGCTCCATTTTTTGCTAAACCTGAGTTCCTTTAGGATTTAACAGCATATATTGAAAAAGTTCTAGCTCAAACCATATGCTTATAAGTTGAGAAGTAATGACACATGGACAAACATTATTATAGCTATTAATCACGTGGATCTCATTACGAGTTTGCATATTTGGATAATGACAATATCGGTCCACTTAATGAGTTCATGTAATGTTTTTCTTATAAGTGGAGGACAATCCAATTACCACGCCCCGGCACAGTGCATTTACGAAGTGGGTCACCTTGGCACGGTCTGTGTTGTGCTCCCGCGCCAGCATGGTCCACTATTCAGGCCACAAGGATTTGGATCGTGGCTCGGGGACCCCGTTCAAGGATGCCAAGACCTAAGTTGGGTCACTGGGTGATCAAGTCCTGAGTCTAGGCTGTTGAGTACCTCGGTTATGCTTGCGAGGACCAGGGCTGGGCAAGGCACCATGACTGTTAATCCCGTGGGCGACTCAAAGTCTTTTGTCACACTCCAAATCCTCAAGAATAAGGATAATTACACGATCATCATGTCACCCAAAGTACGTAGCCTCAAACCTAACAATAACTCAACATAATATCGAGATATATATAATAAAAATTCATATGATTACAGGATTAGAGTTTTATAATATATCAAAAACTAAATATACATCTCCAACTAACAACTAAATTTAGGAGTTCAATTCAGACAAAAATAACTCATACCAAAAATTTCACTATCAAATTGTCCTCCTGAAAATGTAAAAGCTCTCGTCACACTTGTAGCTATCTGAAGAACTTGAAAAATAAGTAGGACAAATGGATGAGCAATCACGGCCAGGTGAGTAAAACAAATCTCTTTTAAGTAGATCGAGCATCACATATGCTCGTTTAAGACACAAAAATGCAACTCATTTACACCAAATCTAGAATATAACTTACAAGATTAAAATGAGTTCTTAATTACTTCAACAAACATATATCCATAATAGAAATAATCATTTCATTAATAATATCAAAATAAGTATGTGGTTCAGTCCACTGATAAAATATATCCATAAAAGAAATAATCATTTCATTAATAATATCAAAATAAGTATATGGTTCAGTCCACTGATCAATTTCATCAAATCGCGCATCAATGGTCTATTCCATTTATCAATCTCAAATCACATATTAATGATCAATTCCATGCTCAATATCCAACTCAAGACTTTAGAGGTAGCTCCCACGAAACTTACGTTATCTTTCAACACTTAATCCTTGACCAACGTATATCAATGATACAAGGCTCTAAAGGTGGCTCCCCCAAGACTTGCCTCACCGTGTAGCACTTTGCCATTGACTAACACATATCAATAGTACCTAGAGATGGCTCTCATGAGACTTGCATCACCGTGTAGTACTTGAGATGCGTTTGTTTCGTTGAAAATGAAGGATTTGGCAAACATTTTTCTAAAAATAATTGTGTTTGTATCGCTTAAAATAATTAGTCAATGAACAATGCTTGCATTACCGATAATAATTTATGTTTAAATATCTTTGTTGAATGTGAAATTTTTTTTCGTTCATTCATTTTTATGAGAGATATGAGTAATCATTTTTTGGAAATTGCTTTCCAAATCGTTCATTTTTCGCAAAATAAATGAAGCCCTAGTTCTTGACTATAACGCCCTAGAGGTGGCTCCCATGAGACTCGCATCACCGTGTAGCACTTTGCCTTTGACTAACACATATCAATAGTACAAGGCTCTAGAGATGGTCCCGCGAGACTCTTGTTGTAACGCCCCCACCTCGGGGTTATTAGTGCGACGTTCCGTTCGTTATTATCTTTGATTAAGCACAAGTGGAAGCAATTAATTCGGAACAATCACAATTAAACCAAACAATGGGGTTACGACAAGCATCGTGAGCAAATCTTGTATTTACATCACACGCAAGCATATTTTACGACCCGACTTACGGGTCTTAACCGATTTTAGCCGTTTATACACAACAAAAGTTATGGCTTGGGTGTCCTAAGCCCGCTACTACGGCTTTAATGCTCCTAGATTCCTCGAACTCCAACATAGCTCATACTCCCCTTCCCACTGCCGTCCGCTCGGCTATCTCATGCCCCGCCTATGGGGCCCCCTAGAGCCGGCCCACCATTTCCACCAAAGGGGCCGTTGTACCCTCACAGGGGTCCAACCAGGTGGCTATTTGACAAACGGTATCACGCCGCGTAAGTGTGGGGTACCAAGTTCTCAAGGCCCTCATTAACCATAGCATAGGTAATAACCCGAGGGTAGGCCCTACGTTCACGGGTGCAGATAGCATCGATCACCTCAACTTCCATCTTTATAGGGGTGCCAAAATGGATCGGGGGAGATGCCATCTTTCGGACCTGAAAAGGAAAACAACGGGGGATGAGTCTGGGAGACCTAATAAGTGAACTCACTAATGTCAAGTGAGGAGGAATCGATCGTCGTTAACATGAGTTGACCCTTAACGCACCGGCGTCAATGGCAAATCAATAGCAAAGTACATGCCAACAACAAAAAAACATCAAGTATGGCTATTACACGTGAGTATCACCAATCAAGTTTCGGTTTTTATCATATGTTAACCATGAATAACAAGAGAAGCTTTTCTCGCAACCAAGTCATAATTGACTCTTGCAAAACGTGAGAAATATACACGTCTCAAGTATATACAAGACATAAGATGAAACAATCAACGATCATTCACAAGTCCGAAAACGGTCCAAGCAAACCACGTCACATCAAATATGAAACATAGGCAAGACATGGAAAGAACCAACCACGACTAATCAAACAACCGAACACGGTCCAAGCAAACCACGTCACAATGCATCTCATCTTCCTTTTCCGACATTAGGGAATTCACTTACTCTACTCGACAATACGAGATTTTATGGGGACCAAATAGTGACGTGAGAATGAAGTGGTGATTGGCGTGAGCAAGAGGAAGAACCGGCTGGTGGGTAGGCGTGTGAGAGAGGGTGAGTGGCGTGAGAATGAGAGATGAGAGAGGAAGAGGAGATGGTGTGTGGTAACTAAGGGGGGACCAAGCCTATTTATAGGCAAACCCAACTTGCTCACCAAGTTAAGAGTCAAAACTTGCTCTCCAAGTTCTTGACTCTTTAGAATCCTCAAAGCTCTCATAATTCACTAGCCACATGGTCCAATCACCTTCATTCAAGTGTCACCTATAATTAAAGGAAATCTTATCAAATCTTAGGCCTAATAATTTGAGTGTCTAATTGACTACCAAGTGTCCTACTAGGGTTATAATGCTCTAAGTTAGGGTACATGAGTCACCCTATACATTAAATTCCAAGAGGACACCTAAGCCCGTGCATTAATATCTATAGGGACACATAAGCTATTCATGAAGAAAAGACAAATGTCACGATGAAATTGCCCCTAAAGTCTAATGCCATCATTATCTAGATCTTGAAAATCTTGGCTATTAATGAAAAAGAGCCAAAAGACCATAATTAAATGGCCTTGAAAGTCTTAGCCATTAATTTGGATTCTTGAGTAAGATTTAATTCTAGCCACATAATCTAAGCTTGGGCTTTAAATTTCAATCTAGAGTTCATGATGACCTATAGGAGCAATTAAGATCCTAAAACTTGATCCTCAAGTTGCAATTGGCCCTAAAGTCTAAGCTTCATAATTAAGCTTCTTGTACAAGCCTTTAATTTGAGGCCATTCATTTCCAACTTGGCCTCCAAGTTTCTAGCTTAGGATCATTATGCCCTATTTATTCAAGGCCTAAATAAATCATGATGATCTCTCTTTCTCTCTCTCTTTGACCATGAGCCATCTTGCTAGGCGTGAATGATGGTCTTGGTCCTCAAGACTCAATTATAAAAAGCCTTCCAGAAAAACACATTTCAGCTTTTGCCATCACATGTAAAGCCTCATTTCCCCTTCATATGACCTCCAATCAAAATGTAACATATCTCATTTGAAATCTTAGAATGTACACATTAAATAATCAGAAGATCTCAAGTCCAAATTCCCAAGGTTTCACGTGAGAAATGGTGCATCTTTGAAATCTGATAAAACTGGGCAGTTTTGTACTGTTCAAGAAATCGGACTTGAAAATATAGTAAATGGACTCAGAAAATTCTCAAATTTGAATATGTCATAAACAAGGCCTTAACAAACATTTTCCATGAGAACTCGAAATCTGAATCTTTCTTTAAACACAACTTTAATAGCTCAAAGACAGACTAAAAACAGTTCGCTAGAATAGAACTCTTGCTTCTCAAAGCAAGCTCTTTCCAGAATCCAAATAATCTCCAAAAAATTCCCAAATTTATATATGTTATAGAGGAAGAAGTTCTTAACAACTTTTGTGAAGGAAGTTTGTTCAAACTCGTCCCAAAAAAATTTGTATAAAATCGAGAAAGTGTAAACATCATAGAAATACTCATTCTGGGCAGTTTTACACGGTCCGAAAATGAGGTGATTGTCCAACCCAAATCAAGTCCAAAAATTCTGAAATTAAATTATGTTAAACTTGAAGATATTTGGAACGACTTTGAAGGGGAAACTTCTAGAAATTCGGTTCACAAAGTTTTCCACAAAAATAACAAAACGAGGTGGTACTAGGGACTCGAAACTAGGTTTTCCAGAACAAGAGTAAAATTTGGTTTCGATTGGGAAAACCACCAAATTTAATCCATAACCATTTTCCGGAGACTGAAATTGAGGATGTTACACTTGTCGCCGTTGTCGTGTAACACTTAACCCTTGCCTAACACATATTAATAATATAAGGCCTTAAAGGTGGCTCTTAAGAGACTCGTGTCGCCATGTAGCACATTGCCCTTGATCAGTTCATATCACAATTGATTTCACAAATCATTTCTTTCCACAAAACCAATTCAAAATTCGTATCATAAATCGGTTTCACAAACCAAAATCTAGAATCTTTCGCAACTTAGTTCATCGATCAAAATCCCCTTTCGTAAAGTATTTCTCAAATCTTTTAAAAAATTATCTCATAAATTAGATTCATAAAGTAATACACATAACCTTCAAGAAAGGTTTATCAAACCGTCTCACGATAATCAAAAGTAGTAAACACTTGATCCAACTTTATGCAATAAATATGCTCTTTTTAGTTTAGTGTGTGTGTGTGTATATATATACACACATTGCTTTTACTTCAAGACATGGGTTTTAAAAACCAAATGAGATATTGGCACCACTCACCTGGAAATGCCCAAAACCAAACAACGTAGTTTTTCGAACCAACGATCTCATAGTCCTATCAATTAAATGATAATCGACATTAAAACCAAGTAAAACATTACTTTAACTAACAACCCTACTAAACTACACTTAATCGCTAACAAAATGACTCCCACGCGTTAACAAATCGCTCGCCCAAGGCGACTGTTCAAAGCTATCCGGAACACAGAGCTTGTGCGCGAAACTCTAAAATTTCACTCAGACTAAACCGTTACTTCAAAACGACTCCCGTCAAACCTCACGGCTCCACAATGCCCTAATTCATGATTTCCGTGAAATTTCATAACTCAACAACTCCAAAATTGGACCTTGCAGTTCAAATTTCACATAATTTCGAATTTGTACCTTAATTTCGAAACAGATTAGACGAAACAAAGGGCTTAGCATTGCAAATTGAAATAAATTCAGCTTGACAAGATCCCCGTGACGTGTACACACAAAATCCTCTTTTCTTTTTTCCTTTTTTCCTTTCCCTTTCTTTCTCTTCTTTGCCCATTGTTTCTTTTCTTCTCTCTCTTTTCTTTCTCATTTGCGCTTTCGCTCTCTGCCCATTCTATGAGCCGAGCGTCCGCTTTTCCTTTTTGTTGACTAGTAAAACTTTTTTTGTAATCTGACCAAAAATAAAACTTTTTCTTTTTTCTTTTTACCCTTCAACTTTTTGACTTAGCAAAAAACCCACTTTTACGCACAGCTTGGTTTTTACTCTCCTTTTTGGCCGCCGCCAACCTGACCGCGATAAAGCTAGCGTTTAAACGGAGACCTTTGTAAGACCAAAAAAAATAAAAATCGGAGAACTTTGAAAAGCATCTCATGTCATTGCCCCGTCGGCTTTTGTGAATCATCGAGAGATTGGCCCTCCGTCATTATGGTTATTAGTGGAAACTACTTTCACCGATTTCTCGTCTAAGATCTTGGAGTGGTTGGAGGTTTGACATCTCGTCCTCGTCCTGTCGCGCCCCTGTCTGACGGATTCGGCTGATGGGTTCAACGTGGGATTGACGTTCATAACTTGAACCGTAGAAGGCTCTGAGATGGATGTAATACACATTCTTTGCTCCGGGGTTGCCGAATGTGGCTGGAGGCAGCGGAGTTGTGGGCGGCCGAAGGCGATGCGTGTTTGGCACTCGGGTGATTTGGAAAGTAGATATTTTTGGTGGTTTATATAAAAGAGGAGTAGACTCGCGCTATCGAGTTTGGCTCATTAGGTGCAAAATGAGAAGTTTAGAAGGGAAGTGTTGGTTCAATGTGAAAGGGTGATTACTTTAGGTAAAATTCTAATTTCAGACTCGTAATCGCAACGTAGCTTCTGAATTCAAGAAGTTCATCGAGATACCCTCACGTTTTAATGCAAATAGCTGCCTCAACTCAAACTACCCACACCATGTTCATTTCTCATCATATAAAATTCTGATGTAGAAACTTAGAAGCTCATGTTTAATGCATCAGCATTTTCAAGTGGCACACTACACCAACATTCTTGAGAGTCACAAGTTATAGGGACTCCTTTGAAGAATTTATGACGAGTGAAGAAGCATAATGTTAATGAGAACCACAAGATTGAAACCGACTGAGTGGAGATGACAGACCCAACTGGCCTATACTGCACTGTGAAGTCCACTACCTAGAAGACTCATGCACAAACCATTTTGGCCTCTAGCAAGTAAAATCATGGCATTGACAGCAACAGCTGATGTGGGAAATTTTCCGGTTAGAGAGACGAGACACTTTTCAGATTTTCCACTATAAATCTCTTCATGGAGCTTCTGAAGCCCATCAGCCAGGACACCTAGAAATGATCTTCCACTACAAGTCCATAATTTTGAATTCCACTCCCTTGTCCTGACCTTCAGGTTGTGGATTCGAATGTCCTTGGTCCTCTCTCTATCCGAAGCCAGTAGCAAATCCAGTTTCTTGGTTGTTGTCGAGAAGAAAGATCCAAGTAGTTATGATCCTTCTGAGAAGAGCAAGATTGTATTCTCTCTTCCTAATGTGTCATTACGCGGTGAAACTTTGCGTTGGAGGAGATGTCATTACAGCATCTGGCTACATCCGAGACCCCGGAAGTATAACATCGAGTGGAGGTCTCTACAAATTGGGATTCTTTAGCCCTAATGGTTCTGCAAATCGATATGTTGGAATTTGGCATAACAAGATTCCTGCATATAATATCTTCTGGGTGGCGAACAGGGAGACACCGATTTTAGACTCTTCAGGTGTAGTGATAATATCTGATGACAGAAATCTTGTGATCACGAATGGAAAGAAGGAAGTAGTTTGGTCGTCGAATGTTTCGACATCTGCTGCAAATAGAACAGCCCAATTATTAGATTCTGGAAATCTTGTCCTGCTTAAACAAGGTTCAAGCTCCGGGGCAAATGATTTGGACATACTCTGGCAAAGTTTTGACCACATGTCTGACTCATTCTTGTCAAAAATGAAGCTAAGCACTAACGTAAGGACAAACGAGAAGAAGTTCGCCTCATCTTGGAAATGCCCTTCCGATCCATCAGTTGGAAGCTTCATGATTACCCTGGAACCGCTGAACGTTCCTGAAGTTGTCATTTGGAATGGCAGCATCCGGTATTGGCGGAGTGGTCCATGGATGGGTAAAGGTTTCATTGGAATAGCCGAGATGCAGACCGTCCATCCTGATGTGTTTAACATATTAGCTGCTAAGGATGGAACTATGTATTATACTTACAATTTTGCTGAGCCGCATTTTTCATACTTCGTACTGAAGCCCAATGGAAATTTGGTGCTGCCATTCTGGCATGAAAAAGAGAACTACTGGGAAGTTTTTTGGTCGTCTTGGGAGAGTGAATGTGATGTTTATGGCAAGTGCGGGCCGTTCGGAATCTGCGATGCCAACACATCACCTATTTGCAACTGCTTGAGAGGCTTTGAGCCTAAAAACATTGAAGAATGGAGCAGAGGGAATTGGTCCGGGGGATGCGTCCGGATGTCATCGCTGCAATGTGAAAGGATAAACAATGGTAGCACTAAAGCCGGAAAAAAGGATGGATTTATGAAGATAGAGAATGCAAAAGTGCCAAATTATGCAATTAGGGATTCCCCGTTGGAAGACCAATGCCAGAAGCTGTGCTTAAGTAATTGTTCCTGTTTAGCATATGCATATGAAGCTGGTATCGGTTGCATGTACTGGAGCGGAGACCTAATTGACATACAGAAGTTCTCCATGGCCGGAACTGACCTTTACATCCGACTCAACCACGCAGAAATTGGTGAGTTCATTCATCAATCTAAGTTCTGTACAATTTGGTATCCTATCGCAACTGATTCCTAGATGTTTAAGCATTAGCCGGTATACTTCCTATTGACTCAACCATCAGAAAATAATTTAATAAGAAAAAAGAATTATGTGGATTTAAAGTGCCTTTTGGCTTTTATCTGCCAAGTCTAATTTTAGCTATGTTTCTTTCTGTGCTATTAACTGTTCTCTGTTGAACAAGGGTTCATAAAATGCTTTTTGTTGGTAGCTGCTTATATAGAGGCACCAGAGTCTGAGACACAGCTTATGTCTTTTTTTCTGGTCCGCAGGTGAAAAGAGAGATCTGACAGCAATTATAGCAACTGCTGTGATTGTGGGAATAGTCAATTTCGTTATTGCTATATGCTTTTGCTGGAGAAGGTGGAAGAAAATACAAGGTAATCAGTTTTGTGGTCATTCGGTCTTGCTATCCATGCAAATGCCCGCTGCATGGACTGAATTACTTAATATGTTAATGGAATCTGCAGAAAGAAAAAGCACAGAAATGCAGTTTTCGGATAGAGAAGCATCATTAGTGGCTTCGGATAGAAACATGCTTGGAGAGAATTTGGGCAAAGTTAATGTCCAGGAGGTAGTGCTATATAAATTGGAAGAAATGGCGGCAGCAACAAGCAACTTTAGTGACACCAATAAGCTAGCACAGGGTGGATTTGGACCAGTATATAGGGTAATAATTTTTCGTGTGGAGGACAGTAACATTGTTTTATATTTCAGCCACTGAGTTAAGTCCTTTTGTGCAGGGGAGACTGTTAAATGGGAAAGAAATAGCAGTCAAAAGACTATCGAAAGCCTCAAGACAAGGGTTCCAAGAGTTTATGAATGAATTGGAGGTCATTTCCAAGGTCCAACATCGAAATCTTGTTAGAGTCCTTGGATATTGTGTTGAAGGAGATGAGAATATGATAGTTTATGAGTTCATGCCAAACAAAAGTCTAGACGCTTTTATTTTTGGTAAGATTTCAATTCTTTTAAGATTGTCTAATTCTAGTCCCACTTTTTTCTTTGCCAAGCAAAGAAAATGATGTCTCATTCGTAATTTTAGCCGTGCATTGGACTGTACCTCCTGCACATGACTGCCATCTTCAGCATAATTTGAACTTGTCACTATGCATTTACTTATATTGTCTATTCAGATCCTCTCAAAGGGGAACATCTGGATTGGAAGAGACGGTTCAGCATTATTGATGGAATTTGTCGAGGCCTACTATATCTTCACCGGGATTCTAGACTCAGGATAATTCACAGAGATTTGAAAGCGAGTAATATCCTGTTGGATGAAGAGCTCAATCCTAAAATTTCTGACTTTGGAACAGCTAGGATATTTGGAAGCAACGAAGACCAAGAAGATACGCGAAGAATTGTGGGAACCTAGTTAGTACCTCTTTGCATGTTGAAGTAATTAATGATTTTATTTTCTACTCAGTATATGGAATCTGAAAATGTTTGATGAAACGCAGTGGTTACATGGCTCTTGAATATGCAATGGATGGGCGATTTTCGGAAAAAACAGATGTCTTTAGTTTCGGCGTGATACTGTTAGAGATCGTATCTGGAAGACAGAGCACTGGTATTATTGAGGAAGATCGATCCTTGAGCTTTCTAGGATACGTAAGCGCTTACTGACATAGAACTCGACTTATTTCACTAAACTAACATAACTATAGCAAATTGACTCGAGTTTTTGGCAGGCGTGGAATTTGTGGAAGGAAGACAATGCTCTAGCACTAGTGGACCCAAAATTCTCCGTCAGATACTTCGAAACTGAGGTTGAAAGGTGTATAAAAGTGGGTCTTCTTTGCACACAAGAACTCGCAAAAGATAGGCCTACCGTTTCAACTGTTATTTCGATGCTCCACAGTGAAATTGTGGATCTTCCTGATCCAAATCAACCTGCGTTCACTGAGAGGCAAACAACTGGAGATACAGATTCCTTGGAACCTAGCCCAGATGGATGTTCTATCAACAATGTTACTCTCACCACTATTATAGGCCGATGAAGAGTGTCCTCGAAATGGACATATTTGAAAACTTAAGCTCAAAGCTGAAGGTTTATCACATTATTGTAATCTGTTCTTGTTTTTATCCAAAAGTACTATGTTCACTGTTCGTTGATTCTTATGTTGAGTGGTGCTGGCAAATGTATTAAACACAAAACAAGAAAATTGAACAGGCCAACTTCTGTAACTTGGTGACTGTTTGGTGCTTATTAAGCATGAAGTGCCGGTTGGAGCAGTGCTCTCGCAGAATGGGATATGGTGACCTAGATTCAGTTCACGTGAGCAACATTCATTTTGTGTCAATAGAAGTTACTGAAATCTAGCAGTAAGACCACCAAAATAGGGAGCACTTGCAAGGTGCAGCATGCATCACAGCGTGGTACACTGGGTAAAGATCTCAGTTGCAAAGGTTAAGAGGGTTGAATGAAAGCATATTCTTCTTCATGGAAATGAACACTCTTGTGGATTTCTTCTTTTAAAACATGTTAGGGCCACAGAAAATGAGGGGAAGTGAAGTGATAGGTGACAATGGCAGAGTGAAAATGAAAATGAGTTTGTGATTTTCTTGATGTGCAATTGGAGAAGAAAGGACAATTGAGTTGACTATTTTGCCCTTGCTAGTGGGTGGATAGAGCACCGGGCAGCACCGGTCCAACTTAGTACAATCAGAAGCCCAAGATGAAATTTTAGGTCCGATTGAACATAATATAAAGGGAAAAAAACATAAAAAACTCCAAACTATATCCAATGTAATACATTTACCTTAAACTTTTTATTCTGTGATACCAAAAGTCCTAAACTTATACCTGTGTGGCACATTTACTGTTCATCAAGCAATGAAAAATGTTATAAATCTACCTATATGGACACTGGAAAGTAAACGATATTGACATGGTATCTATGTGGCTTAGGTGAAATAAAAACGACTTTATTTTGGTTGAAAAATCATTTGACAGAATATTGACGAAGAGTAAATATTTCACATTGGTACAAATGAGGGGTTTTTCTTTATGTTACAAGAAAATTTTTTGGGTAAATGTGTTAAAGTGGCCATACTTTAGGGTTTTTAATGTCATAGAACAATTTTATGGTAAATGTGTCACAATGGGCATAGTTTGAGAGTTTTGGTGGCTTTTTACCTAATATAAAACATACTTAGGGTGTGCTTATTTCAAAGAAATTTTCATGACAAAGGAAAACATTTTCAGGGAAATTAATTTCAATAAAATTTTTTTTCCCTTTTTAGGTTAGGAAATTTATTTTCCTAATTTTAAGCATATTAACCATAAATTATTTTTATAAAATTGATACTTTTTTCACGCAAAGTTATTAATCGTCTACAAAAATATTGCTTACCTATATATTGTAATAGATTTTTCTCATTAAAACTTACTAAATGATAAAAAAGAAATTATTAAATAGTAACTCCTGATATGTTGAAGAATGGTTATTATAGAAATTCACTAGTTATATAAAAGCATTACTAGTGACTATAGATAGATAGCTAGATGCCTAATTTCTCAATTTGAAAAGTTTTTATTTTTATATATCTATATATTTGAGATTATGAATAGCTATATTAGATAATTCCGATTCTATCCAAACAGCAAAGTGGACAAGTCTGGACACTCGTGCCATATTTAACCTAAATTAATATTGGTGTCACAAACAATCTAAACTTGATACCCTCTTGCCATATTTATCCAAACTAATTCTCATGTCATAAAAAATCTCAAATTGGTATCCCTGTCAGCTACAATCTCCAATATCCCGTCAGCTTATGTTCAATTTTCTTACACGAAAATTAGTTTAGGGTAAATTTGACACAACCGTATCAGTTGTGATTTTTTATTACACGAAAATTAGTTAAGGGTGAATGTGATACGAGAGTATTAGTTTAGGATATTCTAAGACATGGAAATCAATTTAGGGAAAATGCGACACGAATAAACCGCTTTGGAATTTTTATGGTATTAGTCCATCCCCATGGAGACCCAATCAGTGTAACGAACAAATTACAAAACAAAATTACCCGACGCCCATCCCGACCTTTACGCCCGGGACAACCTCCCAAAGTCTCATGTCTTCATTGCCCAAACTTTGGTTTCACGCGTAGTCTCTCTTCTTGCACGGCAAAATGATAGCGACAGTTTGAATTCGGAAAGCGTCCGGAAAGCAGGGTCCCCTCCGACATGTCATTTCGTTCCGTACCTCCATGGTCGTCTTGCGCGAAAAGATCGACCAACCATTCAATCTTCGTCCCTCAAATCTGCATGCTCTATTCAAGTCACTGAGATGTGACTCCTCCTCGTCCTCTCCCACTTGCCTTGACGGGTTCAGTGGCCCCAGGAAGTCGGCGCGGGATGGTCTTTGATCATTTTCATTCCCCGCAGCCCGTGAGGCGGCGAACAGGTGGAGAAAAATAGAGATCTTTCGTGTTTCTACGTGGTCTGAGACATCAGTTCATGTCTCCGTTCTGATCTGCAGGTGAAACGAGACATCTGAGAGCAATCATAGCAACTACAGTCATCATAGGAACACTCATTGTCATAGTGACAATATGGTTTGCCAGGAGGAGGGCGAAAAAGAGAGGTAACGAGTAATGCAGCTATTCCAGGCATGCCATTAAGTTCTGAGTTTGCATGGATTATTTAACAAAGACCGTTGTCTGGAACAGCAGTAAAGGAAAGCAAGGAAAAGCGTTTATCCAATGGAGAAGCAACTTTAGTGGCTTCTAGGGAAAATATGCTTGGGGAGAACTTGAGCAGAGTTAAATTCCAGGAGTTTGTGCTGTATAAAATTGAAGAATTGGCTGCGGCAACAGGAAACTTTGGCGACGCCACTAAGCTTGGACGAGGTGGTTTTGGGCCAGTATATAAGGTATAATTATTGATGTAAAGTATCATATATGTGAGTGGGTGGGTGTGTGAGTGTGTGTGTGTCAATTTTAGTGGCTCATTTAGTCCCTGTGTACAGGGCACACTCCCAAACGGTCAGGAAATCGCAATCAAGAGGCTATCGAGAGCATCAGGACAAGGGCAGCAAGAATTTATGAACGAAATGGTGGTCATTTGTAAGATCCAACATCGAAATCTCGTTAGACTGCTCGGATGCTGTGTTGAAGGAGATGATAAAATGTTAATCTATGAATTCATGCCCAACAAGAGTCTAGACACATTTCTTTTTGGTAATATTTCTCTTTTTCAGTGCTGCCTCAAACTATCATTTATACCACTATATCCGGAGAGCCTCATTTGTATAGTTAGCCATTTAAACAGGATTGGACAGTCCTGCTGCGGATGCTTCAACAATTCTGTTTGGCTTTGAACTTCTTTATGTGCATTTCAATCTTTCCCAGTTGCAAAAAGTGAACTTTTTGAATTTTACTTCTATTGTCTATTCAGATCCAGTTAAACGAGTACATTTGGATTGGAGAACACGGTTCAACATAATTGATGGAATTTGTCGAGGTCTACTTTATCTTCATAGGGACTCCAGACTAACGATCATTCATAGAGATTTGAAGGCTAGCAATATCCTGCTGGATGAAGAGCTTAATCCAAAAATTTCGGATTTTGGAATGGCTCGGATATTTGGGGGAAACGAAAATCAAGCTAATACACAAAGAGTTGTGGGAACCTAGTTAGTAGCTCTTTATTTTTCGACGTTCCTAGTGATTTTATTCTCTACTCAGATTAAGGAATTTGAACCTGTTTGATGGATGATGCAGTGGTTACATGGCTCCTGAATACGCAATGGAAGGGCGATTTTCGGAAAAATCAGATGTGTTTAGCTTCGGAATATTATTACTGGAGATCATAAGTGGAAAACGGAACACTAGTTTTTATGAGGAAGATCAATTCTTGAGCCTTCTAGGACAGGTAAGCTCTCATTGATATGGAAGTTGGAACTGCATTGTGTTCTCATAAACTGGAACCCCAATAGTAAGTTGACTTGATTAATTTGCAGGCATGGCAGCTGTGGAATGAAGATAATATTCTAGCCCTAGTGGACCCAAACATTCCTGTTAGATGCTTCAAGGTTGAGCTTTTAAGGTGCATAAATGTGGGGCTTCTTTGTACACAAGAAAGGGCAAAAGATAGGCCTTCCATATCAACTGTTATCTCAATGATCAACGGTGAAATTGTGGATCTTCCCCGTCCAAAGCGACCTGCATTCACCGCAAGGAAAATAACCAAAGACACAGATTCCTCCGGACAAAGCCAAAAGACATTTTCTACCAATGATGTTACTCTTACCGTTCTTCAAGGCAGATGACGTGATTTGAATTTTTGCACCATTCTCACTGTGTCCTGTTCTTACTGTTTCGAGTTTGACTAGTTTTATTTTTAGGCAATCTTGCTTGGAAATGTATACAAACGCAAACCATGAACTATTTTTTCCACGTAACAGTTCTTTACTACACATATTTGTGTCATCAAAAGTTGGGGTTCAAATATTTGGTACCTTCTGCTGGGAATAATGCTTCTACTTCTCATCTCAGGAGGCAGTGGTTTAGATAAAGTTCTGGAAAAATTGCGAACGGCCCCCCTCCACTGTTGGGGGAATTGCAATTAGCCCCCTCCTTCAAATGTTTGCCACTACTCCTTGACGTATCTATTTGTTCCAAATTAGAATCCAAATCTTGGCAACGCTAGGAATACCCTCAAATCTGCAATAGCCTAAGTGTTCACTAATGTTCATCTCATATCATAAATTCAATGACATGGCTAGCTCAAAAAATTCCACTAATCCTGTTGATGTGAGAAAGATATAGCTGATTTTACTCGACGCTGCAGTCCTTGTTAATTGATTGAAGGATGTCAATCAGTATAATTAGTTGTAAGCAACTGGAAACCAAGTGCATAGAAATGTTCATGATACTGAAAACAAAATGGCAATTGAAGGAAAGCAATTGGGGCCACAATCTCGAATGAAGGCAACAATTTGAAATTAGCCTTATTGCATTTGAGCTTCTTTCTGTGCTTTTCACTCTAACC